GCTTCTGCTATGTCTGCTTCCGGCGTCAACGACTCAATTCTGAGGGTTCTCGTCGCGTCATGGCAGTACAGCACATGCATGTGCTGCATTGCACGCCGGAAGCTGAGGTTCTGCTGCTGGGAGAGTCGCTGGAACTGGTACAGAGATACATAGTCGATGAACACCCACTCCTCTCCCTTGAGAGCCTTGGCTAGCTTAGAAACCTGGTATCCGTAGGGGTCGCAATGCTCCCTCGCCTCCCAGCAGTGGGACAGCGAAACGACCCGGGGGCCGTCAGGCGCCTTGCCATCGGCCCAGACTTGGACCTCGGAAGGGTGACAAAAAGCAAAGGCAGACTTCGGGCCCCCGCGGTCCTTGAGCAGGGAGATTATTGACAAAATGGCACATCGCGCGCCTCCTCGTGTGTCACCAGTGCCGTGCGGCCGNNACGCTGTCCTTCCCGGTGCAGCTTCAGAATGAAGTCGGCTCGCACCTGGGCAGGATGCTACATTGCTTCACACAGCAAACCTGTCAGGGGTATGATCCGTCACATGTTGCGTATCACGCACAACAGGCAAGATCGGATGGCTGCAGGCCTTTGCAGATTCAACACTGCAGCAGCAGCCCGGGGTGTGCACCAAGCGGATGTCCGCATGTTTCAGGAAGTCCGCGAGCCCCTGCTTCTGAGTCAGGTCGTAGCGCTTGGACTGGCGCAGGCGTTGCGCGACATCGCAGTGGATGAAGTTGCACACACACACACACACCACGCATCACCACGCTCCACCAGCCTTTTGCGGCTCCGGAGCTGGATCCGGGCGGCGGAGGCGGCGCGCCAAGTCCTCGCAGCTCAGCAGCCCCTCGCCTCCGCAAGGCAGCATCCACCATCATCTTTCCGAAAGCACACAGCACACAGCGTTTCTGACCCTGATGGTGCTTCTATTCCCAAGCTCCCAACGATCGGGGACAACTTCTTGCAAGACGTCCTGACCGAGTTGTTCGGAGCACAGGCAACAAACTAGGCGTGTAGTCCCTGCCTGGAGCATGTCCACGGTGAAACGATCGCCTGAAGCGCTCTGGGAGAATACACGAGTGACATCGTAAATCCCAGCAAGATCCTGAGGCTGCAAGGCTCGACGGCATGTATTGTAAGGCTGCTTCACAGTACTGCACTGGCCATGCCACGGTTGGAGAGTCTAGGCCAGTCTGTGCGTCGCTTATTGACTCCGAGAAGTCTCTAGTAAGAAAGGTTTGGACTCGCCACATGCCACCCAGCTAAGTCCTTTGCCTTATTTTCGGCCAACTTCATAGTCAAAGGTATTGCTGAAAGAGAAGCTATGTGCTGCCTTATGAGCTTGCCGCATTAATGACAGATCATTTCTGACTTCTGAAGGAAGTTGAAACCCTACCTGCAGCTGACGGCTCTGGCCTTTAAGGTTCCTGACGATGACGCGGAGAGCGTCCTTGGAGATCCTCCGCGTGCCCGGGCCACCCTGGCAGAGGAGAATTGGGCAAGAAACAGTCCTTGCTCGCTGTCTTGTTCTCCGATTCGCTCGCTTCATGAAACCTCACATTGCACTCCGAACACACAGACGCTACAACAATCGACCCTCATTTCAGCAGACAACCAACCGATCGCAAGAAGCAACAAAGGCGTATGGCTCAGCAGGGTGGAAGAAGAGCAAAATCAGCTACTTCATTCGTGGTCATCAGCAAAAGCAATTCCGGCTCATATCCAACTCACTAAGAAATCCCCGCGCGGACTGTCACCTGGACAGGGCTACAGATCGAGCAGACACCGCTATGCCTGAACTGCCTGAAGATGCTGCCATCATATTGCAGGGTTTGGTATTGGCGTCACCCGCCCTCGAGACCGCGGCACCAGCTGGATGTCCGCATCTTCGAGGAAGTCTGCCAGCTTGCTCTTATCAGCCAGGTCGTACTCCTTCCCCTGCACTGCCGAACCCCGGTGCCCTCTTTTTGCAAGAGATGGTGGGGATGCGGAGCGCCTGCCCCGCTTTGGAGGTGCCTGGATCCGAGTGGTCGCTTGAGCCTCTCCTCAGCAGAGCATCGAGCAAAGTTGTCCAACATGCCGAAAGGAAATCCTCGCCTCACTTGCCGTTTATGAGCGTCCAGCCGAAGCTTGCTGGTCTCCCCCGCTGTCTCCTCCACCTGAACCTGCAGCTTCGGTGTTCGACTACCGTGCCCACTGGCTCGTGTACCAGAAGACCACCGGCAAAGCTGCAGAGACTAACGTCGTCTTGGTCGGAAAGGGAATCTTAACGCCGGTCTCCTAGCTATGCTTGAAGCAACGCTAAGCTAACCTCTCGACGTACTGGAATATACTATAATATAATTGAATACACCACTATATTCACTATATACTGAATATACCATAGTATACCTTCACATAGTGCCATTATTTGCAGGAAGGCTGTACCTCTCAAATCTTCGCCTCAAAGCTCCAAAGCTTGAATGACTTCGAAACACGGGAATCCAAACACGCAGGCCTACAGCGCTCAAGTCCGGTACAATTGGCAACAGTACCTAGATCCCACCTTCAACCCAGCACCTGTCGTATCTACCCAGCTCATCTGGGAGATCTTCGCATTAGACAAAGGCCCAACTCGATATCTCGGTTCATGATCTGGGAACCTGCAGATCCCTTGGCAAGCCTTCGCCGCTTACCGATGCTAACCATCGCCCCATGTTTACATGTGCAAAGGATTATACCTGAACCCCCTTGCACCGTCTGCACTCCATGGAACCCAACCAATCCCAACCACATTCTCGCACCTGTGACGAAACACTTCCTACAGGCTGTGCTTTGGCATCGAGAAGGTAAGCTTTGGAACATTGGAACCATGGAAATTCGTGGTGGGCATGACCTCAACCACAGGAGCTCCGACCCGGGGAGCAGCATGCGAAGGCCCAGCCCAGCAGGCCCCCGGGCTTCCCGCGATTGCTTGCCCGCTGAAGGGAGCGGAGGAGCTTCCGGCAGCTCAGTAGGCCCTCGCCTCGGCTCTGGTTTTGGCGATGTTCGGAATCATCAGCCTGGATGCTGTGTCTCCTCTGTGCCTGCAAGAGAATATCGTGGTCATTGAAGCCTCCTGACACATCGTGAGCTCTCCGAGTGTCCGGCTATCGGTGGGAACTTCCTGCAAGATGCCCTGGGCAGATGCCAGAAACAGGCACAACGGAAGCCGACCTGCGCGCTCTTTTTGCGTGGGCCTGGAGTTCCTCCTCGGTGATCGAGTTGCCTTGACCAGAGCTCAGCGATCCCCCCCAACCGGATGCACGAAAGTGCACCCGGCCTCGAAGGCAGACAATGAAGTCGCAGAAGGTCTCGACCGAGACTCTTTCCAGCTCAAGGCCAACCTGGCGCCGGCGGGAATTCGGAATACTGCTTGGCCGCAGCTCCTCGGCTTGAGGCTTCCTTCGATGCTGGAGCGCCCGCTCTAAGAATCGGAGTCTGAAGCTTTGAATGCCCATGCCGGAACTCCTCTTCACCAAAAACTAGCGCCGGGATCCGAACATCTGCGGCGCAACGACCCCGGCGGTGGAAGACAAGAGAGCGAAGAAAAAGAGGAAACGACTGGCAGGCCTCACTCGCCATCGGAGCTTTGGCCTTCGGCGGTGTTTGGGGAAAGCGCAGTCTTCAGGAAGACGTGACTTGTGGTTGCGCTTTAGTGAGAGGGTCCCCCCCGGAAGGGCCGTCTATGCAAGGGGTTGGCGCAGGACACCTTGCGCGCGGATTCGGAGATGCGGGGGCTGGTGACTTGCCTTTGAAAAGTTGAGAGTTCTTGCGGTGCCTCCTGAGTTCGTTTCAGTCGGTGGACCTGCAGAGACTTCTCGTGGGTCGGCATGAGGCCTCCGACGAAAGCCGCTGAGTCCAGTTGCCCCAACCGAAGGAAAGCCCACATCCGAACTGCATAATCTGCAATCGGGTTCCATTACAAGAACGAGCACCGCCGAAGAAGCCCTACCAAGCCCGAAGCGCTCAGCGAGATGGGTGCTTGGACAAGCCTGTGAGCTCGTCCTCAAAACTTCGGGGCCGCTGTTCGGATACTAGAACAGTGTCCGACCTGGAATCCTCGGAAAAACTCACAACCAAAGCCCTCCACACCTAACCACGAACCCACCAGGGCCCCCGGCACCTTCGGCTTGACCCAGGCCCGGCAGCTTCGGCCAAGGCCTGCTCACCGACAGGCCGGATGTTGAGGGGTTCAGAGGACTTTCGGTGCTAAAAACAGCTGCGAAGAGGCTTGGCGAAGTCGAAGCTGGCAGCGGTACTGTAGCATAATATACTAGAGTATACTCGAGCTATACGATAATAAACCAAAACTCTACCAAGAATCCTGCTGGCCTTGGTTGGCTCTGCGGCTTGGGAGGCCCAGGTGAAACGAAGCCCCGCTCTCCGAGACGCTGTCGGTCCCTTTGGAAGACGAAGCAAAGAGGGTTTTTATATATAAACGGTATAGTTACTTTTTGTATCCGCCTTTTGTAGCTGCCTTCGGGTTAAATTTGTTGCAGTGACGGTTGCGTCTCATCACGTGCCACGATGGCTTCTGTCGGTTGCCGGCTTGCAAGTAGTGCCGTGCATGGTAAGAAATGCCAGTCATGGATGGGCGTGGGGCACGCTGCGAGCCAAAGCGACCGTCAGTTCGTGGATTGCCGCCGTTCGATGAGCCAATGCGTCACAATGCTCTCGATGGCGACTCCTGGAAAACAGTGAACAACAGACATCTGCGCTGAGGGAGAGCCTGGGGAGTGTGCGGGGGCCTCCACGCCCAGGTAAAAGAACACTGACACTGAGACAAGTATGAATCCTCGAGGGCAGCAGTTGGTGGATGCGCTCCTGCGCGGCCTCAACCACATGCAAAACAAGTCGAAGTTCCGAGAATAATCTAATCATGGCACTTTCCGTGTTCATGGTACAAGATTCTGATAGACTCGACAAGTTCTGGCAGATGTCTTGAGGCTCTCCGGCCCCGTCCCGCCTTCCAAAAACACACTTTTTCATCCCTGCAGGGTCGGCTTTCATCGCAGCTGGGCAAGCCAGTCCACAGCAGGCCGCTGGGCCCGCCTCGGGCTGATCAAGAATCAAGGTTGCTGCGGATCCGTATGCGATCTTCCACGTCTTCCATGGACGCACCGAGGCACACTGCGGCACAAAAGCCCCAAACGTCCGCAATGACCGCAGAGGAACCCGAAGCAAGGCCAGGATGACCCCGACGGAAGAGGACGACCCCAAAAGCCAAACCCTGAACCCTAAGCTAATTCCTAAATAAGGACCCTGCTAAGTATGTTCCTATTATATTCCTGCTGTATTCTTGGGGTTCCCTGTTTTGGGGTTCCCACTAAAGTCTCTTTACAGAATAAGTGGCTGCCGCTTTGATTCTGGAAAGGATCTGGTGCTACATTTACTACATCCCGGGTTCTCGTTTTGTTCCAGCCTGGCTGCTCTTGGGACAAGAAAGAAACCGGGGGTTACAAGAACCTAAACCCTATGCGCCGACCCGACACCCTGAACCCTAAAGCCTTCATTATCATTCTCATTACTATAATCATTATCATTATTATTAGCACTATTGCAATATGAGTCCCACACTGGACGAATTCATGCAAAAGACCAGCATTAGACTAGCAACCAACATAGCTGGATCTGGGTACTTCTCTAAGTTAGGGTCCCTTTTTAGGTCCCGCAAATACTATGGCACCCTTATAACAAGGACCCTGAAAGGGACCCTAATTTAGAGAACTACCCACCTGCGTTAGGAATCTTCCCTTCACAGCCCAAGGCCCAAAAACATCTCATCCCGGTCAAGAACTTGCAGAATCTTTGGAGTTCAGGGTTTCGGATCCTTAAACCTTAAACCCCAACCCCAAACCCTAAACTGAGGAACGAGCTGCAACGCTTGGGGACACTAAAAGGGTTGAGGGTTGAGGGTTCAGGGTTTGGGGTTCTGGGTTAGGGTTCAGGGTTTAGCGTTTAGTAGTTAGGGTTTAGCCCAGAGAGCCCAATGCCTCTTCTTAAGGAACGTTC